TAATAGCCGATATATATAATAGCTAGCTATATAGAAGTACTATTTTAATATCACATGATCCACCTTACATTCTCACAATGTTTCATAAAACGCATGCTGCAGCTGGCTGTTAATTTACAGTCTCTCTTCTGTTCTTTTTCCTCTTGTCTCTCGTCCAACTAAGCACAATAAACTATTTTAAGAAAAACGCTACCATTCATTCGGCGGATGAAGCTGAGCGTGTCAACCAGCTCTGCGGTCATCAGATCTGATTTTGATCAAACGACGGGCAGTCATATCTAATCTTTGCAACTTGGCCCCTGTTTCAAAGCAAGAAATGCAACATAGTGCTTGTTGCAAAGGTTGTTTTACACTTCCATCGTGCAACCAGCCTCATACGCATGCCACGCGTCTTTTATGGGTCCCTTGCTCTACCTTATCTCCTACATAACAAATGCGAGCCAATTATTTTATTCATCCTTTTCTTCTTCCCCCTTTCATCGCATTCAACAAACCACAAACCACTGCAGCCGTCGGCACCTCCCTGCCGCGCCACCATGAATCGAGGCCTCCCCCTCAACGCGACCTCGGCCACCCTCCTTCACGCTCGAAGGCAGCCACGTCGCGCGTGCTAGCCCGTCGCCGGCAACATACATGTTCCAGGATGGCCACCAGCATCCTCCTCTGTGCCTCCATGTCCCGGTCTCTAGCACCACCATCACGTCCAGCAAGAGGTCGTTTGCATCCTCCTTTGCGCCTCCATGTCCCGGCCTCCAGCACCATGTCACGTCTAGCAAAAGGTCAGAGATGAGTTTCTGCAGCAACAACACTGTTGCAAATTGCGGCAGCGAACGACAAAGGGGATTTTGTTTTGGAAAACACTCTAAATCAGCCGGATGCAGACATCCAGTGCGCCAGCCACGCACACGGCTTGCCACGTGCCCACGCGCGTCTCTCCCACTCATCTCTTTCCTCTTCCCTTCTCCACCCACCACCGCTTTCTCTCAGCCATTCCTTCCTTCTTATCTTATCCTACTTCTCTTTCCTTCTCCAATGCCAAATCTCATCGTGGATGCAGCCGTCAGCCAACTCCGCCAGAAACACCAGGCTACGACGCAAAGGAAGTGGGAGGGGATGTTGCAGGCTGGTGGGGCGACCTGCCACATATGCTGCGACGTCGGCCCACGGTGCTTCGAGCTCGACGACTGCGGCAATAATATTGCGACGGTCTGTGGTGGCATTGTAGCAAGCTGCTGCTACGAGGCCGTCGGAGTTGGTACAACGGTGGCATTGATGTGAGCAACGCCGACGACAATGCTTGCTGGAGCTGTGAGAGGTGCTCGTCATCGTGGGGGCCTTCCGGTGATGCTGCAACTATAGTTACAAGCTGCCGGAGTTGCTGCGAGCAATGCTGTGATGGCTGACGTTGTTGGGAGATGGTGCGGCAAGGACGTCGACCGCACGCTGATGTTGCGACGGCTGCCGGGACACGGCCGGCAATGGTAGCCCGGTTGCCTCAACGTTGTGACCATGTTGCGACGACGTCCCAGGTGCTTCGACGCCCGACGGCTTTGGCGATGCTGCGACGAACCGCGGCGGTGTTGCTGTGAGCCACTGCTGCAAGGCCGCCAGAGTTGCTACAACGGTGGCGTTGCCGCGAGCTCTGTTGCAAGGTCGCCGGAGTTTGCTACTATGGGCGGCGTTGCTGCGAGGACGTCGAAGTAGCTACGACGGGGCGGTGTTGCTGCAAGCCACTGTTGTAAGATCGCCGGAGATGCTACCGGAGCCACGTGTGTCGGTCGACGACTTTTTGCTGGGAGCGGTGCTGCATCAGGGTTGGGCGGACCACGGTGCGCACCATAGGTTCTACAACGAGGACGACGAGATGGGAGAAGCAGGCCAGCAAAGAGAAGATCGGACGGCTAGGCGCTAGCGCTGAGCATCTGATGGCTATCAACGCGGTTGTAGTTTGGCCAGCGACAGCCGGATGCCGCCTAGCACGTGCCTTTTGTTTTATGCAACAAGCCTCTTGTTGAAGATGGCCGAACACAACACTATATTTGTTGCAAAGGGGGCAACAACGGAATTTTTCTTTCTGCAACAAGGGTCTTTTTTTTACAGGACTTGTTTCAAAGAAAAACAGTTTGGCAGGAGCACAACAAGGCTCGTGTTGCGCTCAGCATTGCAAAGGCTGGCGCACGCTCACAGGACGAAGATCGGATGGCTGCCGAGCTCGCCATCCAACAGCTACCGAGGCGGCAGATCTTTCTTAACATCACCCAACCGACGCGTAGCACGCCCTCTATTTTAATCTTTTACAGCCTTCGGACTACCTTATTAAACTTACTTTTTTTTGAAACGGAGGCAAAAGCTTTGCCTCATCTCATTAATAAAGCAGAAGAGAGTTGCCCGGTTAATAAACGGAAAACCGGGCGAAAACCGTCACAAACCGCTGAGCGGCACACATAATACCACACACCTCACATAGAGGGTCTCGTCAACATCACACACCGGTGTCATCGTCATCACTTCTCCCCAACAGGCCTCGTCGCCCTCCCTAATCTCCGAGAAAGCGACTCCGACTTCTCCGAAGACAAATGTCGACCCAACCCACACCGTAGAGCTATGTGAAACACAAGAAACCCCGCGCCAAACTCAGCCACCCGCGTCAAGGACAACACAGCTCCGACTCTGAAAGATGGCTCCGAAGGAGAACTATGCAAGGTTAGCGCCGCGGAAGACCACCGAACAGACCACCTGCTGCCTGTCATCGTCGCCCCAGGGCCCCGCCGCCGCAGCTCCGACTTCACCGCAACAAAACAACCCGAGGTAGTCCCACGAACACGCCGGAGAAGAGCCGACTACCGCAACCATTGCCGCGTCTCCGACATCGCACATGCCCATCATCGTTGCCACAAAAGCCTCGACGCCAACACCACCAACTTCCATCGGTCCCGCTTGATGATGCCTAGCTCCAAAGACGAAGCCCTCGAGAGGGGATACAATGCTAGAGCACCGTCATCGTCCGATCCCATCGATCTAGGGTTTCCCCCGAAGCTGCGAAGATTGGAGCTGAGAGTGCCTCGACGATGCCAACAAGAAGGGAACGGCGCTTGAAAGCGTCGCCATCGCCGGCTCCGGACACGCCGGAGACAAGCTTTCGCCCAGGTCAGCTTCTCGAGCCCCGCACATCATGCATCAGCAAGCCCTCCATCGAGCCACCGTGGTCAAATCCGGCCGAATCTGACCACCTTCACCCTTCACGACCTCATAGCAGCAGATTCGCGACGCCTCTGAGCCGCGCCGAACGCGCCGCCCAGGCCCTTCACGCACCCGCGACGAGCGCCACACCAGCCGCGCCCTCGCAGCCAAACCTCCGCCGGCGGCACGCCTCACCTCTCCCGGCAGCCGCCGGAAGCCCCTGTCCGCCCTCGCCGCACAAACACATCCTTCCCACCCGAGCTGCAGAAAATCTGGGCAGCAAGGTCCCTTGCGCATCCACGCTGCTCCCTTGCCGAATCACCGCAGCGCCGCCCGAGCCGAAGCACCACCTCACGCTGCCGTGCGAGCCCGCGCGCTTCAGATCCGCACTTGTCCGCCCCTCCCGCACGCGCGACGAGCGTCAGAGCATCGCGCCGTCCCGCCACCTCGCCGCGCCGCCCCGCCACCTGCGAAGGCCCGCCGCGCTCGCCCCACCACCTGCACTGCCTCGCTGCGCCGCCCTGGACGCCAAGGCGCCCGAGCTCCTTCGAAGCGGACGGCCCACGCCGCGCCACTCCAAGCAGGAGGAGGAGAGGGCCTCGCCGCCGCCAAGCCGCACGGGCTTTGCCCGGCGACGCCTGCCGGCGGCGGCGAGGGGAGAAGGGGCGGCTGGATGTGGCGCTGGCGGCGGCTAGGTTGCGCTCCTGGCCGCTCGCGGGAGCGACCGAGGAGCGGGTAGACTATTAGGTTATTATTGAACTATTAAAGTTACTCTTATTACAATTCATAGGACAAAAAACAACTAAAAAGCAACAAAGTTCAAACCCACAAAGGCTTTATTAATCTCTCCAAACAGAATGCCGTTTGGTGAAAGATCATAAGCATTACTACTTGAGATGGCAGCCACCAGTTCCTGGGCCATCCATTACCAAGGTGATGCGTGTCATCATCCCCCATGCCTGCGCAGCTTGCAACGCAGCACAACAAGCTTCAGCGTCAGCTTGTAAAGATCGCAGCCTGCCAGCTCCAGCTCCAGCTCCTACCGCGTCTCCCTCAGCATCTGTGAGAATAAAACCCCAGCCCCCAGTCTTTCCATCAGGCATGAAGCTGCCATCCACGTTTACCTTCAGAATATCATTCGCCGTGGGCGCCCAGGCTATTGTGTACAGCCGTCTTTTCCTTTGGTTTCTTCAGGAAAAAGGTCTCAAAATCAGCCGCCGTCCTCCTCACATGGATCATCACCTCCACTAAGAGCCTGTTCGGTTTCTCTCCGCTCCCATGACTCAGCTCCCAGAGCGGAGCAGGCTCCTGCAGTTTTTTATGGAGCTGCTCAAACCGAGCTCCGCGGAGTGGAGCAGAGAGATTCTGAACAGGGCCTAAGTTAAGCTTCTTCTCGCCAGTATTAACTTTGTTTCTAGCCAGCCACCAGTTTCATCTTTCTTGGTGCCTGAGGGCTATTGATAAACCGAGCTTGCTCTCCTGTACTAATGTGCGAGCACCATCCAGTAGTGCCAAACCACCCATTTCATTCAGCAACTCACACTGCCAACGTCAAGAGGCAGCCAAATGTCAGGTAAACACCAACTGGCTATGGCAAACCTGGATCATCATATACTTTGCAGATCACCACATTGTGAAAACACAGGGTAGATGATGGTGCGGTCGGACACCTCCATCGCAGAGATATTATGTTACCATAACAAGTACAGAGTTCAACAGGATCGCTCGGAGGAAACAGAGCAGTAAATACATCAGACAGACACGCGGTGGTTATTGAACAACTGCACAAAGATCCAGACGCTCGCAGATGCCATCCCTGCCTAGTAGCCATAGCTGGTCTTCTTCATCATCCTCGCAAACTCGCCAAAATCTATCTCGCCGTCACCTGTGATGGGACAGAAATGAAGCTAAGTCACTTGATTCTCCAGTAGGATAAAGTTTCAGAAAAATGAAGCTCTTCCATTCTCAGCAAAGTGAGATGAAATGGCTAACCATTTTGATCTGCCTCTTGAACCATTTCTTGGATCTCTTGGAGAGTGAAGTTTTCACCCAACTCTTTGGCAATGCGCTGAATATCAACATCTGAAATCTTCCCCTGCACGAGTCACACAGCATACTAGAGTTATGGCAACACTCTGTTCAAACAATGGTAGATTTACAAAATAGGTATGTGTTTCATTCACACATTGAGCTCCACCTAGCATTAGAAAAGATATCAAATTGCCATTCTGCACCAAACCACCAAAAAGCATCCAGTACTACTGTCACAATCTAGACCGTTTTAGACTAATATGGTTTTCCAAGGGGAAAATTCAACCATATTCAACCATTAATTTCTACAAAAAGTATGTTGCTTTAGATAAATTAAGTATACATACATTAGGAAAGTATATCTCCCCATGAATCTAGAGGTATCAATTAAATGTTGTAGAAGTTGATATTTTTTTCTGTATTAAAGATTTTAAAACGACTTAGATTGTGACTCAGAGGGAATAGTAAATTTTAACTATTTATGAAACTGGTCGAACCAGTAAGCATCCAGAAGTAAGAAAACAAGTCAACTCATTAAACATCTGAAAGAATTAAAATGGTCAATTGTCCGCTAAAGGCAAAATTCCAATTTGTCTGATAAAGTAAAGCTAACCAGTTTATAACCTGGAAAGTTGCAGTGAACCAGATTCATATTCAACAATATATGTAGAACAAAGGAATATTGAGAAACTTTACATTTTTATCTTGGTCAATAATGCGGAACGCTTTTGTAAGCTCTTCTTTAGTGTCCCTCTCCCCAATCTTGGCAGTCATCATGTGCTCAAACTCCTCATAATCTATCGATCCACTGCCATCTTTGTCAACATCAGCAATCATCTGATTGATTTGCTGCATTATCCAAAAGCAGGGTGGAGTGTCAGTAGGAGGGATTTCCTCAATACATTATAGAGTACCCTAGTAGTAAAGGAAGGATTCATTAACCAGCTAGATTTTTAAGGTGAGAGAAAATATATACCAAAAAGAACATGTTTGGATAACAAACGTCATTAATTAAGAATTGCAATGCAGGTCAATTATCTATCCTTCTAGGAATGTTCATCGAGTATTGCATTACTTATTCAAGAAGCAAAATTTAACCACTTTATCTGCAATGGATGTTTGATCATTTCTATGATCCAACAGGAGCAAGACAACTACAAGCTCTCCTGGTAAGGTGGGAGGAAATGCAAAACGAAAGAGCTAGCAAGGTGGATGAACTGTACCTCCTCTGTCATCTCAAATCCCAAGGCTCTACAAACAAAAGCAACAAAGTTAGGGCCGTTATTTTTTACATGAGAAAATGGCGTTAAAATGACAATGACTATGAAATTACTAGTACCTCATCGCAACATTCAACTCTTTGGCATCGATGGTTCCTGCAATGCGAACACGTTGAAGAACATCAGCCCAACTAACCAATATTGCATCGGGGAATAACCAGGCCAGTGAAGGAACAGATTCATTACCAGAGTTATCGGTGTCGAAAAGATCAAATGCTTCCTTTATTTCCTGCCTCTTCTGTTGCGTGAGGCCATGGGGGCGAGTCCTAGGCCTCTCCCTCCTTGTCTGTCCCTTGATTGTAGACTACAATAAAAGCAGACATACCAGAAGCGGGTCAATGCGCAGGATGATGTTATCAGAATATCAGTCGAGATTATCAGCAAAGGTCATAACAAATCATTCCGGCAAATAGGATAACCGTTGTGTAAATGTTCATGCAGGGAATTAAATCTTCAAAGATAGCTGCTTTATATTAGCACAGGAATTCAATATAAACAGCTGCCGCCTATGCTGCAAGCGACGGACACGGATCACGGGCTCGGTGCCTGCCCGAATTCGGCGGCGACAGTTCGCAAGGAAGAAGGGGATCTAGAGGGAGAGGAGGGCAAGGAGCTCACCATGGCTAGAGAAGAGCGTCGCGTAGGGTGAGCCGCCGACGAAGAGGGTCGCCGCCCGCGTGGATCTGCCGGTGCCCGAGGGGAAGAACGATGAGGGTGAGGCGGCCGTCGATCTGGTCGGGAAGGAGGAGCTGTGACGCGTCGGCGTTTGCTTGGGACGAGGGGCTCGGAGAGGGCTGGACGGTCGAAGGTATTGGACCGGGCCGCGTCCGGTGGGAGATCGAATTCGCATCTTTACCGCGCTTGACGTGTCCGAGACTATTTTTCTGGAGTGAAACATATTACGTCGTAAGAAAAGCAAAATAAAGGAAATTCCAGTCAAAGGAAAATAAATCAGAAGCCATGTTGCCTGATGCAGACTCCTTTTGGGGCAACTAAGAAATTTTGGGATTTTGGATGAAGTCTTCATCCTCCAAAGGTATGACGACAGGTACCTTCTTTTTTCAGCGTTGTCTTGGTGACGGTGATGGTGGATGACTTTTCGGCGTGGCACAAGATTATGTTGCAGTGAAATTTAATTTTGCTTCATACAGGGCGTGTTTAGTTGCTTTCGCTGTCGGGCCTGGCTCAGAGGGAAAAAACGAGCCAAGCTGAGCAGGATCTGGATAAACAAAAACAGGGTCAAAACGTAGATGATCAGTTGATTGGTTGCCTGCATTTGAGGGTCATGTCACCGAGATGCAATTTTCATCCGGCGTTTGGTTGCATACATGCATATGATTAGGACTTCACAACAAAGCTTAACACCCACCAGGTTTGGCATCTCATTTTGTCAAACACGTTGAGCGCGTCGGAGGTTCCTCTGCCCATCATGTTGTAACACTCCGGATGTAATTTACATTATTTGTACTTCAACTCTTGCCGTTTCCAGCACTAAGTTATGTTATTTCCTCGTTGTCGGGTTTTGTCTTCGTGTTGTTTTGTTTTTGTCATGCATCTCATATCATGTCATCATGTGCATTGCATTTGTATACGTGTTCGTCTCATGCATTCGAGCATTTTCCCCGTTGTCCGCTTTGCATTCCGGCGCTCCTATGTCCTCCGGTGTCCCTTTCTACCTCTTTTCATGTGCGGGCGTTAAACGTTTTCGAATTAGACCGATACTTGTCTTGCGGCCTAGGTTTACTACCGGTAGACCGCCTGTCAAGTTTCGTGTCGTTTGGACTTTGTTTGATACTTCAACGGTTAACCAAGGGACCGAAAAGGCCTCGTGTGTTGCAGCCCAACACCCCTCCAAAGTGGCCCAAAACCCACCGAAACCTCCTCCACCATATAGATCGTTCGATCACGATCGCGTGGCCACAAACCGCACCTCATTTGGAGCTTTCTAGCTCCCTCTACCTCTATAAATATGTCCCTCCACGAAAATCCCGGGTCTCCTCTCCCCCTAACCCTAGAGAAACTCCACCCGCCGTCGCTGGACAAAAATTCGGGTATCGAACGTGTCCGCCCGCCGCCGCCGACCAACCAGACGACGCCACCTGTTCCGGGCGTGACCACATCGCCGCCTCAACCCCGCTGGCCCGCGAGGCCCAGGCCGGGCCCCCCCGTCGCCCGACCGGGCCCGAGCTGCCCCGCGCGCGTCGCCTTCTTCTTCCTCCGCGCCGCCCCGATCCGCCGGAACGCCGCGCTCCGCCGCCTGATCGCCGGCGAGCACGCCCACCGCCCTGCGCTCGCGCCGCCCGAGCCAGTCGCCGGACCCCTACGAGCACGCGCGCCCGTGGAGGAGCTCAACGCCGGCGCCGCCCCTCCTCACCATCTCCGGCCTCCCTCGACCCCGGCAGCAGCTCCAGCCTCCTCCGCGATCTCCGGCGAACAGGTTTCCGATGAACCTCGGAGTGCGCACCGCTACAGTGCAACCGGATCCAGATCTGGAAATCCCCTCGGTTGACTTTTTCCCCTCGAAACCCTAGTTTTTTTTTTGCATACTTTGACATGCCATAACTTCCTTATCGTGACTCCGATTCATGCGTGTAGCATATCAAAATGTTCGCCTCGACAAGTACATCATTTCATCTCATTGGATTATTTCCTTTTGAGCTCATCTTGATGCCTGAAATGATGTTGGAAGAGGGCTATGTAATGATAGTTTCAGATCTGTTTCAGCAAATGCATTTTTGTCATTTTTGCCATGATTAATGTGTGCATGCTATGATCCTGAGCTCTACATGTGATTTGAAGAATGCCATGCCATCTTTACAAGGGTGTATGCCATGTATTTTTGTGATTTTTATGGTGACTAGCACAAGCATGCAAAGTAGCTTACTCAATGATGCTGATTTCAGGGACTTAGAATTTCACTAAGTCCTTGCCCTGTCATTATTTTTATGCCATATGTTCATGTTGTTTCCTAGTGATTCGTGCCTCTTTTGAGCATGATCAGTAAGGATGTTTTGTAGATAATGTTGTGCTCTATCCATCCATGTCTTTTTTTGCAATTATGGAGTACCCTAGCTTGAGTCAATCGAGCTCTACTTTTACTATAAAATGTTCCCGGCAGATTGTTAACATGTTTAGCGATTTTGCCGAGCTTGTTGTTGTTGATCCATGCACGCTATGTTATTGTTCTTGCCATGTCTATTTTCTGGGTGTATGCTTAGTTTGTCATGCAATGCCTCGTAGTGAGTGCATCGAGCTCGTAAACATGTCTACTTGATATCTGTTTTGCATGCTCCAGTTTTTCACTAAGTCTGAATCTGTTTTCATTAATTGTTATGTTCACATGCTTGCAATTGTATTTTCTGATCCCTTTTGGCTCATGGTCACTAAGGGACTTTTGTTATATGCTTTGAGTAGCTTCATTCCATGCCTTGATTTGCCATGACATGTTACTGTAGCATGTAGTTATCGTGCTCTAAACTTTACTTCCTGATGTTAAATTCCTGACTTGCTGTTAATTTCACTAAGTCTGAAACCAGTAATCTTTTGCAATTTTGCCATGCTTGTTTGAACCTGTTAATGAGTGAATTAGCCGTAGCTCAGTGTTCATATTTTGTCAAGCATCATGAGTGGATCCCTGTCATGTATTTTGTTGTCATGTTTGAGTGCATTAGCTTATTTATCGTGATGCATTTAGAAGGCTACTTGTTGTTTATCGCAGACCGGTGCCATATTTGTTTTGCTTGCCATTTCCAAACCGTACATCCGATTTCGGTGATCTTTATATCAATTTCGACCGAAATCACCTTCCCTTTCCAGTGGTACTCTTGGTTTTCCAAGTTGAGGCCAGGTTCTATCATTCCTTTGAAAATCTTGCATATGCATCACATATCGCATCACGCATATCATACCATGTTTGCATCATGTTGCTTGAGCATTACACGTGGTTGATTGTGTTCCTTTTGTTTGTTGTTCTTGATTGGGTAGAGCCGGGAGACGAGTACATGAACAAGGAGCCCGTTGAGTACGCTTACGAGGATCAAGGCAACTTTGAGAACTTTTATAGGCAAGATGACCATACCCTCGAAATCACTTCTATATTTGCTTGCTAGATGCTCGCTATTTTGCTATGCCTATGCTACGATACCTACCACTTTCTTATCATGCCTCCCATATTGCCATGTCAAACCTCTAACCCACCTTGTCCTAGCAAACTGTTGTTTGGCTATGTTACCGCTTTGCTCAGCCCCTCTTATAGCGTTGCTAGTTGCAGGTGAAGATTGGAAATCGTTCCTTGTTGGAATTTGTTTATTGTTGGGATATCATAATATTATCTTGTTTATCTTAATGCACCTATATACTTGGTAAAGGGTGGAAGGCTCGGCCTTATGCCTGGTGTTTTGTTCCACTCTTGCCGCCCTAGTTTTTCCGTCATATTGGTGTTATGTTCCTGGATTTTGCGTTCCTTACACGGTTGGGTTATAATGGGAACCCCTTGACAGTCCACCTTGAATAAAACTCCTCCAGCAATGCCCAACCTTGGTTTTACCATTTTCCACCTAGCCTCTTTTTCCCTTGGGTTTCCGGAGCTTGAGAGTCATCTTTATTTAAACCCCCCCGGGCCAGTGCTCCTCCGAGTGTTGGTCCAAACTAGAGCCCTTTGCAGCGCCCCCTCGGGGAAACTCAAGGTTTGGTTTTAGTTGTACGGAGCGCTCATCTGAGTGTGACCTGAGAACGAGATATGTGCAGCTCCTATCGGGATTTGTTGGCACATTCGGGCGGTGTTGCTGGACTTGTTTTACCATTGTCGAGGATGTCTTGTAACCGGGATGCCAAGTCTGATCAGATTGTCTTGGGAGAAGGAATATCCTTCGTTGATCGTGAGAGCTTGTGATGGGCTAAGTTGGGACTCCCCTGCAGGGATTTGAACTTTCGAAAGCCGTGCCCGCGGTTATGGGCAGATGGGAATTTGTTAATGTCCGGTTGTAGATAACATGAAACTTAACTTAATTAAAATGCACCAACCACGTGTGTAACGGTGATGGTCTCTTCTCGGCGGAGTCTGGGAAGTGAACACGATGTTGGAGTAATGCTTGACGTAGGTTGTTCTAGGATCACTTCTTGATCATAGTTTGTCACTCGTGCCTTTGCCTTCTCTTCTCGCTCTCTTTTGCGCATATGTTAGCCACCAAATATACTAGTCGCTTGTTGCAGCTCCACATCATACCTTTACCCTTCCTATAAGCTTAAATAGTCTTGATCGCGAGGGTGTGAGATTGCTGAGTCCCCGTGACTCACAGTTTACTTCCAAAATCAGATGCAGGGACCGATGATACCGCTCCAGGTGATTCAACTGAGCTCAAGTGGATGTTTGATGAGGACTCAGGACGATACTACATGTCTTTCCCAGATGATCAGTAGTGGTGCCTAGTTGGGGCGATCGGGGACTATGTTGCATTTGGGGTTTATCTTCATTTTGGTTCTGTTGTCGGACCTTTGAGTGTATTGGATGAATGTAATGACTTATTTATGTATTTGTGTGACGTGGCGAGTGTAAGCCAACTATGTATCTTTTCCCTTATTGTATTACATGGGTTGTTTGCTAAGATTACCTCACTTGCGAC